TGTCCCCTTCCAACAGCCCTGTCTGGGAGCCAGAGCTGCTGTGGGAGAGCCTGTGTCCAAGGGGGCTGTGCCCCACCTGCACATAACCAAGAGAGCAATTGCATCTGAGGAGCAGCAAGGGGAAGGCGCTGCTGCAGCCGTGGGGCTGGCGGGGAGCGTGCTGGGGCAGGTCCCCCCGCAGAGCGGGCGCTCGGCTGGCTGGTGAAAAAAACCCGACGAACCGTTGGGCCCCCCCTGTGGGCAGCCAGCGGGAAACGCAGGGGCTGCTCAGCAAAGCTGGCCTGGGACCAGGCCAAGCGTTTCCAGAGATAAATCTTCATCTCACTCGCAAGCTGTTTACCTTCCTTGGGCTAATATTAGTGATTCTCTTCCTGTTTTCCTCTTTGCTCATGTAAAATGATGAGGCCTTGACTGCTGTGTCCACTGCTGGTAATTGAGATGATAAATCTTCCTGCTGGAGACTGGCTTTAATCAGAGCATTGTGTTTGGATGCGATTTAATGACTCTCATGCTGCTGAGTTTGGGCAGGACTTGGGAGAGGTGAGAGCCATTTATATGTTACTTGGCTTAACTGCTGCTTCCGCTTTGCTTCCCCTCAGCTGGGAGCCGCGTTTTCAGCTCCAGCCTCTGATGCAGCCACTGTGTCCGACGAGCTGTCCCCCTGGCGTGCCCCTGCTCTGTCCCTGCCACCAGCGCTCTGCTTTGCAGTCGGGTAGCTGCACTGACACCTACAAACCCACCCTGTGCTTCAGCTGCGACAGGGGTGCTGGCAAGCAGAGTGGCCCAGCCTGGGCTTCTATTCCACGTTTTGTTCTTCCAATTTGCTGAGATAGCAAGGAATAAATTCCACCCCTTCCTCTTCTGGCTTCCCTACTACTGTAAAAATTTTGCGTTTGGTGTTGTACCAATTTAGTCTCAACGCAGAAGAGAGCGGGTCATACACTGCATCCATGAGCTGCTTCCTGGTGCTGCAGCCGCAGACAGCAGCCTGCAGTCCTCTGGGCTTTCCTCAAACTATGCTTCAGGCCCCGGGAGATCCGCAGAGCACCTTTCTGCATGGCCGTGCGTGCAGGCAGGAGTGCAACAGTGCGTGTGCTTCAGCGATGCTTGGATTTGGAGCTCCACGGCAGTGGTTTGGGTGTAAACGTGCAAAGTGCTTTACTGTGCTTTTGTGTGCGGTTCTGGTGGGGTAAGGACTGGATCCCAGCGCAGCACTAACCACAGATCCTCTCCTTTCCCGGGAGAGGAAAGGGAGTGGCTGAGAACCTTGCCAAGCCCTTCCCATCACGGTGAGCTTCTGCTGCAGAGCTTCCAGTATTTGAGGGCAATGCCCAAAGCTACCCGGTGTCAGTCCTGCAGGCAGCCAGCTATCTGGAACCCAGGGAGAGGGCAAGTTCTTGGCGTTGTGCATCTGTTTAAGATGAGAATATTGTCCTGTTCTTATTACTTGCATAAGTAAAGAAAAAGTACTTTGGGCTGTGCAAGAAGGTTCAGTCGGAGCACTTGAGGCTCAGCCTCAGCGTCGCTGTGCTTTCTCCTGCTCCAAAGCCCGGGCGCTGCCCGTCCCATCCCTGCCCGTCGCTGCGCAGCCCGGTGAGCGGCACCTCGGCGTGGGGGTCCGGCTGCTCTCGCTCTTTGTCCCACGCTGTTCACAGCACGAAGGAAAGGGCAGAGGCGGCGGTGTGGAGGCGATGAGCAGAGCTCCGTCCCCCACCCCCAGCAGGCTGCAGCAGCTCTGAAATAATTCAGCCCGTGTTGGCAGAGGCAGCTGCCAGTCATCAGCCTGGAGCTCCCGTGCTGCGCTGCCGTGCTTCCAGCATCTCTCCCTTGTTCTGTGTATTTTCCATGTCTCTTTCCTCAGTCTTTTCAGATTAATAGCATTCCAGCTCCTGAAGGAAATGCAGAAAAACGGCATGTTTAATTTTAATTTAGGAAAGCATTTAGGTAGCAGCCTAGTTTCCTCGCTGCTGTCAATCAGGTTTTCTCAAGGCTGACATCAATTAGTTTAAAAATATTGAATGTAATTTTGCCTGACACAACATATTGCAGCCACTGCAAAATATAATTTATTTTAGAAGAAGAAATAATTAAACTAATTTGCATGTCAGTCAGCTGAGCTCGAATATGGAGTAGAGAAGCTGCAATGGAAGATGACTTTTTTCCTCTCCAGTTGCACTCAGCCTGGCACATGCAACCCACTGCCTGCATGTGCTCGGCAGAGCCTTTCAAGGGCACATTTCTGCGCCTTCCCACAGCCCTCGTGGACCCAGCCTGCTGCTCCAGCGGGGGTATGTGCCTGCTGAGCACTTCTTTCTGTGTGCTGGAACCTGTGCGGGGCTGCATACATGCATACCTGCACATGTAAAGGAAGCACAGGTCAGAGCTTTTGGCATTGCAGATGTGAAGTCTGCCTGAGTTAAGCATATCCTGCCTTTCATCACAGATGTACTCCAACAATCTTAATCGCACTTGTGACCATCATAAATTCAGTTTATGCCACCTAGTTACAGAAAACATATTTCAGAGATGTTTTGGAGATAACGTTTTTCAGGTGCATCCACCATTTTTCATATTTTCCACCCATAAATCCAGGTACTGGCTCAAAGGAAGAGAGAGGTTGATAAAAAAAGCATTTGAGGAACCTTCAAATACATCACAGTAAAACCAAAATAAAAGAAGCTGCTGTGCACCTCACTGGAAGAGCAGACAACGATGCAATGGTTGCATTTCTAACCTTGATGTTCCTGGAGGCATCAAATGTTAACCCTGTCACTGAGCCGGGAGTAAGCGTGAGCCTTGGGCTTCAGCAATTTTGGAAGGAGCAAAAGGAGCACTTTTTTATGACAGGGTGCATTTAGAAAGGGAAAACTGTGCTTTGATCTGTGCTCGGGGAGTGGGATGTTAGTTATGGCTCTGGCAGAGGGGTCAGCGTGGGTCCTCGGCACCGCCGTGGCGCATGGATAACCCCACTTGCGTGCACAGCATAAAATACCAGTGACAGCTCACTGATGCTGAGCACGAGGACAGATGCTGAGCATGAGGACAGACCTGTGGCTGTGCCCAGCTCCAAGTACACTGACCGTATCTAGGGGAGGAAGCGCTCCTCTGGGTCGCAGCTAGGAAGGGGAAGAGATGGGGTCCCAGGCTCATCTTCCTCCCTTCTCTTTCTGTCTTTCCTCGTCTTCCTCTCAGCCGTGCCTGAAGGGCAATGCCAGCCTGCTTCAGAGCTGAGCAGCAGGGATGGTTATCCATCTTCTTGCAGACTGAGGAGGGGGTGATGAGATGCTGTCATCCTTCTTGCAGGAATCGAGCCCTTTTTCCTCCTTCTTGTTGTGGGGCTGGTGGGCATCAGGCACACGCCTCCACCTCCCCCAGGCTCCCTCCTCGCCCCGCTGCCTCCCCCTTCCTCTATCCCCAAAAGGAATTGCAGTTCATTTCACTGCATCAACATGCCTTTTAAAATAACACATAGTTCCAGGCTTTTAGTCACGACTTCTGCCTCCCTCCCCTGAAAACAACCATCTAATCACCAGAGCAGCTGGTCTGGGTGAGCGGGAGTGATAACGCGAGAACGGGGTGAAGGCAGCTCTGGGGAGGGGGCTTAGGTTCCTGGCTAATTACGGAGCGGTGCTAAATCTCCTCTCCCCTGGGTCCTCCCCCACCTGATCTGCGGGGGCCAGCATTAATTTCCTAGACAAACAGGCAACAGAGCTCCTGCCCGAGCAAGGAGAGAGGCGTCGGGTCTGTCGCACTTGCAACCTCTGGGTAAAGCAAAGGAGATGGGGTATGAGGGAATTCTCGTTTCTGGAAGCGCATGAGGTGCTTCAGAAAACATCAGGCCCTTCAGAGTGATTTATAATCGTATCGCAAGGGCTCTATGTGCCGTGGTGGTGTGTGTGCGTGAGGCGGAGCAGCACTGCCATGAATGGAGCTGGGATCCCGGTCTGTGCGCGGAGTGAGGCCAGCAGCTCCACGGGCCCCAAGGGAGGGGAGTGGGCTGCGAGCCCCCCAGGACCGCTGCTGAGGTGGGGGTGAAGGGGCTGCCTGCGATCTCACCGTGTGACCCCCTCGTACCAGCTGGCAGGCGGGGCTGGGTTCAAGTTCAAGCTGCTGATGGCGCCGGTGCGTCTGAGCGAGGCCCTGAGCTCCCACTGCAGCCCCAGGAGCAGAGGAGATGCACCGGTGGATCTCATCACTGCCCTGTGCTCCTGGTTGATCCCAGCTGCTTCCCGTCCCGGCTCCACTCACCTGCATCTCAGCTGCTGCTGCCAGCACCTGGGGTGTCAGGGTTCAAGCCAGGGTGTGATATCCTTGCGTCTGACTTTGCTTGTCCCCTCTTGGTGTTGCCTGTCTGCGGCACAGGTGATTATCTGTGGTGGCTGACCCTTGTCACGGGGTCTCACTCGGGGCTGCTCAG